CGAGTTATGGCGTAAGGTCTTCAAAACATCGGGTTTCGTAATGGAGATTTTGCCATGGAGATTATATTCTTTGATTTGATTTATTTCTTTGTTCGTTTTTTTTTTTGGTTCGAGGCGACCATATCGATCGTTTGGTCCGGTTTGGGGACACGGTTGATTGCTGGCGCGGGATTAAAAAACACGAATAAACGAAAACAAGTAACGAAGTATATCCTTGAAAACTGGATTTGACCAAAACATTCCAAACGTTATCAAATAGTTACTAGACTGAAAGCAGTCGCCAAAACACAACTACGTTGCCTGTACCAACTACATCACATCAGGGGCGGTGGGGCAGCCTAGTGGTTAAAGCGTTCGCTTGTCACGCCGAAGACCCGGGTTCGATTCCCCTCGTGGGTACAATGTGTGAAGCCCATTTCTGGTGTCCCCGCCGTGATATTACTGGATTATTGCTAAAAGCGGATGAAAAACCAAACCACTCACTCACATGAAATCAAATAACCATTTCTTCTTTGTTTTAGTTAACCTCCATCGGTGAAGGATGTGCATCTTATTTCACTAGGCAGTTCAGTGCAACAGTACTAGAGCTAAGAATGACGTTGATGTCCCGTGGTGAATTGTTATATTGCTGTCAGACCTTACACATTTATGAAGCATGGAACTGCCCAATTACACAGTTAGTTACTCAGTAATTACTCACACGACTGTATAACCGCGTGTGCCTCTTTCGCCATCGCAGTAATTGGTCCCTGCTCACTGGAGCGTGTCCGTGCAGCTGATGCTTCCAGATTCCTGATAGTGGAAGGCAGTTCTAGCATGTTAATCACCAAGGAGACAAATATTGGGTGATATCGATCGGACGGTTTTGTTTTTGGACGTTTGTGCCCCGTCTATTGTTCATGAACATTTCAATGCTGTATCAGTTATATGGCCGTCATGACTTGTCTGTGACGACACTTACCGATGCTCCATTGGGGATGTCGGCTTGCCTGTATCTACTGGTAGGGTTGAATGCCAGCTGAAGGAATAGGCACAAGACGCGCTCCTAATACTACACCGTCTGATGTCTATACATTTACTGGTGTTATTCCAGGAAAAGCTGTATGACGACCTTTTGAAGGTTACGGAAATAGGCGAGCTGTGATGATTGGTGTCTACGATAAATGAACACACCCGTGGACTAGTAGAGTGGCAGAATGGCGGAAGTCTGGGGTTGGATACCTGGCTGCGCCATACCAAAAGACGCTAAGATACGACACCCTGCCTGTCATTACAGGAATGAAACACCGGCTGGTCGACTCGGGGTTAGTACAGTGAATGTGTGAGGTATTCATGTCAAAACTGCAGAAAAGTGGCATCCGTGTACCAAATATACATTTGACAGAATCTAGCGTGTACCAAATATACATTTGACAGCATCCACCGTGTACCAGATATACATTTGACAACATCCACCGTGTACCAAATATACATTTGACAGCACCCACCGTGTACCAAATATACATTTGACAACATCCAGCGTGTACCAAATATACATTTGACAGCATCCAGCGTGTACCAAATATACATTTGACAGCATCCAGTGTGTACCAAATATACATTTGACAGCATCCAGTGTGTACCAAATATACATTTGACAGCATCCAGTGTGTACCAAATATGCATTTGACAGCATCCAGCGTGTACCAAATATACATTTGACAGCATCCAGTGTGTACCAAATATACATTTGACAGCATCCAGTGTGTACCAAATATACATTTGACAGCATCCAGCGTGTACCAAATATACATTTGACAGCATCCAGTGTGTACCAAATATACATTTGACAGCATCCACCGTGTACCAAATATACATTTGACAGCATCCACCGTGTACCAAATATACATTTGACAGCATCCAGCGTGTACCAAATATACATTTGACAGCATCCACTGTATACCAAATATACATTTGACAGCATCCAGCGTGTACCAAATATACATTTGACAGCATCCAGTGTGTACCAAATATACATTTGACAGCATCCAGTGTGTACCAAATATACATTTGACAGCATCCAGCGTGTACCAAATATACATTTGACAGCATCCAGCGTGTACCAAATATACATTTGACAGCATCCACTGTGTACCAAATATACATTTGACAGCATCCACCGTGTACCAAATATACATTTGACAACATCCACCGTGTACCGAATATAAATTTGAATGCATCCAGCGTGTACCAAATATACATTTGACAGCACCCACCGTGTACCAAATATACATTTGACAGCATCCAGCGTGTACCGAATATGAATTTGAATGCATCCAGCGTGTACCAAATATACATTTGACAGCATCCACCGTGTACCAAATATACATTTGACAGCATGCACCGTGTACCAAATATACATTTGACAGCATCCAGCGTGTACCAAATATACATTTGACAGCATCTAGCGTGTATTAAATATACATTTGACAGCATCTAGCGTGTATCAAATATACATTTGACAGCATCCAGCGTGTACCAAATATACATTTGACAGCATCCACCATGTACCAAATATACATTTGACAGCATCCACCGTGTACCAAATATACATTTGACAGCATCCAGCGTGTACCAAATATACATTTGACAGCATCCACCGTGTACCAAATATACATTTGACAGCATCCACCGTGTACCAAATATACATTTGACAGCATCCACCGTGTACCAAATATACATTTGACAGCATCCACCGTGTACCAAATATACATTTGACAGCATCCACCGTGTACCAAATATACATTTGACAGCATCCACCGTACTGCACAACATAAAGCTACTGAATCCAGAATAAAACTCAGCATCCCTGGGCATCCAGCATATACAGTTGCTAGCTTCCAACATAGTGCACAACTGCATCCAGAATACTACTTAGGAAGGCACAGCATCCCGGGTACCAAGAGGGGTTTGCATCCTCCTAGGGAGAATGAACAGTAATATTGTTCCCCTATAACAGATATTCATTTAAAAAACCACAAAACCATGGTGTTGTGTAAATGCAAGTGTACAGATATTTATTACATTATTTACAAATCATATATATAACAAATATTGACACAGCTTGAGAAACGGTGTTTCTTACAATGACTAACAGTGACGTGTGATTGCACAAAGCCCTTCCACATATAACCAGACAATATGTTTTGAAGAACGCAGCCTTTTCAAGCATGTTAATCTAAAAAAATATTCTGAAATGTCATTAGTTTCAAACTGAAATTGACAAATGAAACGAAAATACATGATGTAAGAATGCCTCTGATTTTACATCCAAAAACAAACGTTTTCCAATATTACAACAAAAAAACCCAGAAAGTCTCATTCTTTACGCCTTGAGTGAAATATTTAGGATCACATTGTATCTTAATCAACACAGAATCAGTTGTGAAGGCCATTCATTAACATCTGAAGTTGACACCCTTTTGGGATTACATTGTACTTAATTTAACACAGATGTATTCTGAAGCTCACTAGAAGTAATAACACATGATATCTCCCAGGTGAGGGATAAATGGCAATATTTTCTTAAAAATCCCCTCTTTTTATTGCCCATCTCCTATACAAATATTTACCTATCCTATGTTTCCATAATACTTTCATCGTTCATCCCTTCTGCTGACATTGTGTGACTGTATTCTTTGTTCACAACAAAAAGTCTTCACCTGATGGGCACCATTAGTAGGATCATCAAAGTGTACATCCCATTTTGGATCATTTGGCCATAATGAAATACATACTTGTCAAATGGTCTATTTTCTTTGCTCTCTTAGACAATGTCTGTACAGGCCTGAGAACTAACAGACTTTCCAAATTTCACTGGACAAGTTGTATATTTCATTAAATAACAGAGCAGTGATGATTAGATATCACTTATTACAGATTTACATATCAGCATCAGTAGAGAGATATAGTGTTACATTAACTTAATATTTATATTCTATCAACCTATATAGGCAAGTACATGAATGCATCAAGTACAAATAAATACTCAACCGATTACTTTGTTTTGATCTCATGACACTTGGATGATCACACAGTGATCAGATGACTCCCCATACATCAATGTATCAAGATACAAGTTTTGATACAACTCTTGTATTGTTGGTTGATACATTAATACAAGATTAATTCATAGGCCCCCACTGCGGGTCAGAAAATCGATAAACTAGGCCCCGTTTTAGTATCCACACACCCTACTATATAACATGTACATATTATATAGTAGGGTGTGGATATATGAATAAACCGGGCCTAGTTTATCGATTTTCTGACATTATATAGTAGGGAGTGTGAATACTAAACCGGGGCCTAGTTTATTGATTTTCTGACATTATATAGTAGGGGGTGTGAATACTAAACTAAACCGGTTTATTGATTTTCTGACATAGTAGGGGTTATTGATTTTCTGACATTAAGTAGGGGTGTGGATACTAATACTAAACGGGGCCTAGTTTATTGATTTTCTGACATTATATAGTAGGGGGTGTGAATACTAAACTGGGGCCTAGTTTATCGATTTTCTGACATTATATAGTAGGGTGTGTGGATTTATCGATTTTCTACAATATAGTAGGGGTGTGAATACTAAACGGGGCCTAGTTTATTGATTTTCTGACATTATATAGTAGGGGGTGTGGATGTAAACCGGATTTTCTGACATTATAGGGTGTGGATACTAAACTGGGGCCTAGTTTATTGATTTTCCTGACATTATATAGTAGGGGGTGTGGATACTAAACCGGGGCCTAGTTTATTGATTTTCTGACACTATATAGTAGGGGGTGTGAATACTAAACTGGGGCCTAGTTTATTGATTTTCTGACATTATATAGTAGGGTGTGTGAATACTAAACCGGGGCCTAGTTTATCGATTTTCTGACATTATATAGTAGGGGGTGTGAATACTAAACCGGGGCCTAGTTTATCGATTTTCTGACATTATCTAAACCGGGCCTATTTTCTGACATTATATAGTAGGGGGTGTGGATACTAAACTGGGGCCTAGTTTATCGATTTTCTGACCCACAGTAGGGGCCTATGGATTAATTCTGTTGCCTACATTGTGACAGTACACCATGACATCAGTCCATGCTAACATCTTTAGTGTTGGATGTTTGTCAACTTATTGGTTAAACATATACAAACACCAGTCTCAGGACCAAAAACGCTTTTTGATTAACTTATATCACCTGCCAGTTTTTCTGTATCAAGACACATATCGTATGTTGACTTCACTATCATTTTCCATATCATGGCTGTCGTGTGTATCGCCCCAAGCTCACCAGTCACACCTCACAAGACTAATATCCACTCTTATTAGAATTCCTCTCTGTTGTATACAGAGAGATCAGTGATAGATTGACTGTAGGGTCTTGCTCAACCAAGAAGGACATTGTCCTCCTTTTCAGCTTCCACTCAACCAACTTCCACAGCTTCCACTTGTCCTAGAACAACATCATCAGCTTCTGGGAAAACTGAATTGGGGAAGTATTTCCACCAAGGAAAACATTTTTTTAACAAAAATTCAAATAAATGGATTATTATTGTCAAACACTGACATCGGAAAACATTTCAGTGATAATACTACTCAAAAGAAGTAAGGGATCATGTAATTCTTTGATATTTGTTATGCCATGACAGACTAACTATAGCAATGTGAAAGAATCTGGTGCTCCTTCCTTCTTTGAGCAGTATATGAGTAATGTATATTGTGGCCTGGATGAGTCTGGTTTACTGTTGGTGAAGCTGAAGCCCAGCAAGCATCATCATGTAGCAGTATTCAGGAATGTAAGAGTAGCTGGCTTATTTCAGTTCCTTCAACTTGTTTGCAAGGCTCGCTGTTTTGAAGTCAGCACGCAGCTGTACAAACTGCAACACCACTGATTCTTCCATCATTGCCTGTGGAGAGAAGGGAGATAACTGCTGTAGCCAGGAAAGTTGCTGGTGCAAGTTAGCATGTGTTGTGTCCGGTAAAGACACAATAAAAAGATGTTTCATTTTCATGGATATGGTTTTACAGCTTTTCATATGGGTAATTTTAAATAGGATGGTTTGTGAAACAGCAATCTAGTTTTTCTTTATCAAAAAGGAATAAATCAGAAACTGTCTGTCTCATCTATAAGATATACATACAGAAGATTCTGGTTAGAAACTACAGCTTTTCATCATGAGGTACCAACAGCTACCCACAATAGGCTTCACAAGGGTGAGGTCAACTTACCAGTTGTTCGTCATCTCTGACAACCTTGATGTTCTCTGGCACCACGACAAGGAGGTTACAGAGTGCATGGAGCTTCTCAAACAGCTGTGTTACCATGGGAATCTTAAACTCTTCCTTCACACACTTCCGGTACTCATTGATGTCACAGATCACCAACATGGCTCCTGTAACAAACACATCACAGATCACCAACATGGCTCCTGTAACAAACACATTGCTGATAATTGACATGGAATAAACAGGAGGCATAGTTTATTGATGAGATGATAAATGAAATAGATTATCAAAGATTGTATTTAAACAGAAGAAATAGTTCATTGAATATTTTATTTATTCAGAAGAATATGTAATTATGATAACTCATTTTTATTAACTATTATGAAGTTTGAAAGTCATTTTGGTTTAAACATATTTTATTATTATTTATGAAAATGAATTGGGATTGGTAGGGCATTCCATAAATTTATTGTGTCGGGTAGAAAGGGTTTGGCATAAGGGGCATTTCGACTGTAAATTTCAGAGTTATTTTAGAGTTTTTTCTTAAACTATAGCTTGTAGTTTCGGAGACGGAGTAAATCTGAGTAGGTAAATTAATTTCTCTTTGATCACGAAGTTACCTACACAAAGTGTTTAATTATTAAAGACATTTACCTGAGTATGTTAATCAATTTATCTTATAAAGTTTCATTAAGTTACCTCCACAAGATTCAGTTACATAGCAAATCAGTTATTAGCTAGGGTGAATCCATTCTATCAAACAGGGGAGTATGGTGTGTTTTCGTTGTTAATTACCTATTCCACTGTCTCATAACTGGGAGTCTCACAACTGGGAGTTCTCACAAATGGGAGTAGACCTAACAAACACATCACAGATCTCCAACATTAAACCTCGAACCAATGCATCACACATGAAACGTCCAACCAACACATTGCAGATCTCTAATCAGGCTCCTGCAACCAACACCACAGATGCTCAACAAGTGTTTGCTACCAAGATGGCAATGTCCCCCGCCACAAAAGAAGAAGATGATCTCTAAGTTCAGTTGAGAATGAGATGAAGGCTGCATATTTCAAATGTGACATTGATGCCAAGCATCAAAGAACACGCTTGGCATCGAATGTAATAGTTCATGGCATATTGTGTAAACTAAAGTTTGAAAAGTGTCGTGTGACCTTGAAAATAAGGTCAAGGTCAAATTTTTATGAGATATCGCGTAATCACCCAATGTAGAATGTTGACATAATTGAAGACATTGGGTGCAATGTTTTATGAGATATCGATAGGTTTGAAAAGTGGTCAAAGTGTCATGGTAACCTTAAAGATAGGGTCAAGGTCACCCATGTCAACTGATGTCTGTAATCCCCCAATGTAGGCTGTCACCAAATTTGAAGAGACTAGGTACAACAGTGCATGAGATATCGCATTATCAAGAGTTTGAAAAGTGGTCTTTGTCATCGTGACCTTAAAGATGGGTCAAGGTCACCCAAATCGACTGAGCAGTCAGTGTAACCCCCAGACATGGCACCTGCCACCAACATATTACAGATCTTCCTGAATAAGCTACACATACAACAATATATTTCTTGAAGCTCATCCAAGTATTGTTCTGTTATCTATAGTGAAAACATAAGTTTCCAGTTCCAGTGTTCTTATGGTCAGCGGGGCGGTGGGGTAGCCTAGTGGTTAAAGTGTTGGCTTATCACTCTGAAGAACCGGGTTCGAATCCCCACATGGGTACAATGTGTGAAGCCCATTTCTAGTGTCCCCCGCCGCGATGTTGCTGGAATATTGCTAAAAGCGACGTAAAAACCAAACTCAGTCAGTCAGTCAGTCTTACGGTCAGCAATACAAGCCACTGAGTTCTCAACCAAAGGACAAATAAATTGGGGACACTCAAGTGCCATGTAACCCATTAATCTTAATTGTGTCACTTCCTGAAAGGGAGATAATGCTGATTAATTACCCATGTCCTCCTGCCCACAATTCTGTGAGGAATTGTCCATAAAACTGCATGAAACTAATGACTCAATCATTTTCTATTTTCCACCAGTTGACTGCTATATGAGTGCAAATCGAATACCCCAGATTAATCAAACTGACAACTATACATGCTGTTATCATGGGAAAAGGCTGATGTAATGTAACCACATATATAGTACTGGTGATGTATATTATAACGATACTGGCAAAGGTGAATAGTCATATGACATCCCACCAGGTACCCATTCACTGCTGGGTCAACAGGTAATTGTAAACAGACTCGCTTAAGGTGAGACCACATTATCATGTGTGCTTCGTTGTTGGGCAGGACTGAAGTCCTTGATACTCGCAGGATTTTCTTGAAAGAACTGCCAAACATGGTGAACCAACCAAGGTCTCTCTGTGACCAGCGTTGATTAACTTCAACTGATTTGACCTGGGCTCCATGCACAGACCACACACCGCCACATATGGGCTAGTGAAATGTTACCATCATTAAAATACTGGTGATGTATTGCTCAAACTTAAAAGCTAAAGGTAGAAGATTTATATGTTTGATATTTCAGGTGTTTTTGTACAATCAGAGGGGGGCCTCTTCTTCATTTAGCTTTTGTCAGGTGTCAATTTCTATAACTGTTGAAATGTAATTACAGCATTTCAGACCTGTTTTGAGATACGTTCAAACTAATCTCAAGAAAGACATAAACAGTTACTAATATTCATGAAATTTATGATTCATGAGTGAGTGAGTGAGTGATCAAGTGAGTTTAACACAGGAAGTAAAGATAATAAATTATCAAATTATCAAGTCAAATTACATAAGACATTTCATTTTAACCCTTCTAAACAAACAGCACGGGTACAACTGTACATGGGTACAATGTGTGAGGCCCTTTTCTGGTGTCCTCCACAGTGATATTGCTGGAATATTGCTAAAAGCGGCATAAATCTAACCCACTCACTCCAAACAAGCTCTTTTTAATATAGTCCATATTTCAGACAAGCTCCCTGTGCTGCCCCTGTCCCTTCAGGCCAAGGCCTGACAATGTATACAAAACACTGTTTGTATGTTTCATCCAAGGCCTGACAATGTCTACAAAACACTGTTTGTATGTTTCATCCAAGGCCTGACAATGTATACAAAACACTGTTTGTATGTTTCATCCAAGGCCTGACAATGTCTACAAAACACTGTATGTATGTTTCATCCAAGGCCTGACAATGTATACAAAACACTGTCTGTATGTTTCATCCAAGGCCTGACAATGTCTACAAAACACTGTTTGTATGTTTCATCCAAGGCCTGACAATGTCTACAAAACACTGTTTGTATGTTTCATCCAAGGCCTGACAATGTCTACAAAACACTGTTTGTATGTTTCATCCAAGGCCTGACAATGTCTACAAAACACTGTATGTATGTTTCATCCAAGGCCTGACAATGTATACAAAACACTGTATGTATGTTTCATCCAAGGCCTGACAATGTCTACAAAACACTGTCTGTATGTTTCATCCAAGGCCTGACAATGTCTACAAAACACTGTATGTATATTTCATCCAAGGCCTGACAATGTCTACAAAACACTGTCTGTATGTTTCATCCAAGGCCTGACAATGTCTACAAAACACTGTTTGTATGTTTCATCCAAGGCCTGACAATGTATACAAAACACTGTTTGTATGTTTCATCCAAGGCCTGACAATGTATACAAAACACTGTTTGTATGTTTCATCCAAGGCCTGACAATGTATACAAAACACTGTATTGTATGTTTCATCCAAGGCCTGACAATGTATACAAAACACTGTATGTATGTTTCATCCAAGGCCTGACAATGTCTACAAAACACTGTTTGTATGTTTCATCCAAGGCCTGACAATGTCTACAAAACACTGTATGTATGTTTCATCCAAGGCCTGACAATGTCTACAAAACACTGTTTGTATGTTTCATCCAAGGCCTGACAATGTATACAAAAAACACTGTTTGTATGTTTCATCCAAGGCCTGACAATGTCTACAAAACACTGTTTGTATGTTTCATCCAAGGCCTGACAATGTATACAAAACACTGTTTGTATGTTTCATCCAAGGCCTGACAATGTATACAAAACACTGTTTGTATGTTTCATCCAAGGCCTGACAATGTATACAAAACACTGTTTGTATGTTTCATCCAAGGCCTGACAATGTATACAAAACACTGTTTGTATGTTTCATCCAAGGCCTGACAATGTCTACAAAACACTGTTTGTATGTTTCATCCAAGGCCTGACAATGTATACAAAACACTGTTTGTATGTTTCATCCAAGGCCTGACAATGTTTGTATGTTTACAAACACACTGTTTGTATGTTTCATCCAAGGCCTGACAATGTATACAAAACACTGTTTGTATGTTTCATCCAAGGCCTGACAATGTATACAAAACACTGTTTGTATGTTTCATCCAAGGCCTGACAATGTCTACAAAACACTGTATGTATGTTTCATCCAAGGCCTGACAATGTCTACAAAACACTGTTTGTATGTTTCATCCAAGGCCTGACAATGTATACAAAACACTGTTTGTATGTTTCATCCAAGGCCTGACAATGTCTACAAAACACTGTTTGTATGTTTCATCCAAGGCCTGACAATGTATAAAAACTGTGTATGTATGTTTCATCCAAGGCCTGACAATGTATACAAAAACACTGTTTGTATGTTTCATCCAAGGCCTGATGTTTCATCCAAGGCCTGACAATGTATACAAAACACTGTATGTATGTTTCATCCAAGGCCTGACAATGTATACAAAACACTGTATGTATGTTTCATCCAAGGCCTGACAATGTCTACAAAACACTGTTTGTATGTTTCATCCAAGGCCTGACAATGTCTACAAAACACTGTATGTATGTTTCATCCAAGGCCTGACAATGTATACAAAACACTGTATGTATGTTTCATCCAAGGCCTGACAATGTCTACAAAACACTGTATGTATGTTTCATCCAAGGCCTGACAATGTATACAAAACACTGTTTGTATGTTTCATCATCCAAGGCTCCTCCGACAATGTCTACAAAACACTGTTTGTATGTTTCATCCAAGGCCTGACAATGTATACAAAACACTGTATGTATGTTTCATCCAAGGCCTGACAATGTATACAAAACACTGTATGTATGTTTCATC